AGACACAAGCCTATCTTTTCACGGTGCACATACAGGACACTAATGGAACGAACTTTGCTTATACGGTTTTCTCATACAATTGAGGCCACCCTCCCTGTGTAATAACTTGGCTTTCGACCTGGGCGCAGCAGCTGCGAACAATTGTTGTCGCTTGTCAGCTTCATCGAGGCATGATTTCAAAGGAAATAAACGACAGAGGTGTTTTCGATTGACTTATCATCGGCTTACGATATGGTCTAGCGCGATAGTCCCATGTGCAAAGATTCTAGAGCAGTATGGTATTGGAAGACCCTTCCCATTATCACAGACACGATTGGCGTTTGTCGGTACCGGGTCCACATCGATGGGTGGGTCAGCAAGGAAAGGACCCTTAACAACGAGCTGCCACGTGCTCAACTAGTTTGTTTAAGAGGGCGAACCTCGTTTTGTTAATAACTACATGTACTTGTGCCTGGAAAGAATAGAGTCCTTCCTTACGTGACCCTGCCATTTAATCATCATTATGCGTCGAAGCCGATGCTGCTGTGCGCCGCTCAATCTTCGTTCTTGCTCGAACTCTTGTTGGAAGAGTAACTCCTTTCTCAGTCAAAATATTGAGCAGGTTTCGAAAAACACTTGATGCTAGGGCGATCCCTCCATTTAACTCTGGCTGGATAGTGCCATCGCTGGAAATGATGAAGCCGAGATACTCAAATTGCTCAATCACCTGAAGCGCTTCATCTCCTTCCTCCACTTGTAAGTCAGTTGTGCCGGATAAATTCCTCATTACTTTTAATTTCCGGCGCTAAAGAAGAGGCCGACTTTCGCAGCCGTGTTGCATACGGAAGGAATCAGATGAAAGAGTCCACTTCCTCACTGCTCACCACGACGATGTCATTTTCGTACTCCAGCTTGGTAAGATATCTAGGCGGATATCATGAACTGCGCTTTTCCTCAAGAATAAAACCTTCACCTTTTCCAGAGTCAGCACCGTTTCACAAAAGATAGTCGAGAAACCGACCAGAAGGAAAGGCTAGAGGGAAGGGATAAGCCGTGGGAAAATACTTTTAACGTACAGTCACGTTTAATGCCTCTCTGATCCAGGTCCAGTGAGACGATGAACTCCGC